TGATCTCTAGAACAGTGGGAATTATTAAACTTGGAGGGCATTCAAGGAGACCGAGGGACCAAGTGGACCAGGTATCTTGATAATCGTAAGGATGTATTGGAAATTTTTCAGAACTTTTGACCGAATCCAAGTGAAATTAAACGTGTGGCGGCGGAGATGAAAAGCTTTTATAAACGGCTATCCGAAAGGATACACAATGCATATGCGGTTGGAGACTATGTAGAATGGCATCGCAGCGCATTAACGTCTGTGCAAAACGAAGCAGTGGAATATGTGTAAAGAGATGAACATTAAATATCAGATTGTTGAACCTGCTGACGAAGGAATCAAGACATCTACGACCAATACTGACAAGACTAAAACTGATGAACCCACCCCGACCAATACAGGCATTATCTCTTAAAGGTCTTGATTAATCGCAAATGAAGCCAAAACATCTACTTTGTAAATACAAGTAATAAGAAACTTAAAAACCTTTTCGAACATTCCGCTAGAAATGAGAGTATATCAAGTTATGAAAAACTCCCTTTACTGAAATCTAATCTGTAATTATCTATCTCTTCATTTAATAGACAACTTCAAACAGTCTAATTAAAAGTAAATCTGGAAAAATTTTCTTTCAAGTAATTTTCGAGAATTCCGTCATGGCATACTTTATAACAATAAGTATTTTTGTGTATCGTATTCTAAATAAAAGTCGTTTGAACGCTATTATAGATTTGATTATAAAGCTATAACTATGTATATACACTTACCTTTAGTGATTCTGTAAAAGCGAATTATGTTTAAATTTAATAAAAATTTTTAACTAATGAATATTTGATACAAACTGTGAAGTTTATAAATCTTTAGTTACTAGTTTATTCTTTAATACGATAAATACCTCTATGATAAATTTATGCTTGGTTCTTCGGTGTGTTTCTCGTCATCTAGCCATAGACACTTTTCTTCGTTTTTCACTTCTGCCCTATAAACTTCCACCAAACCTAATGACTTTTTTATCGGAAAGTCGAAAATTTTATTTGATTTTCTTTATAGTTATTTGTATTTGGTGATGGTAAACTTCAAGAGATTCTGGCGTTGAACAAACTATTTCTTTTAGAATATACTTGGGCGATTTGCTCGTGTTGTCTCAATATTGTTAATAGAGTTCGACATATTCAGGAGGCGTTCAATTCTTTCTCAAGAATAATTTCGTATCCATATTTATTGGATGGAGTGCGACCGCTAGAAACCACCCATAACAGAACTCCAACGCTGAAAATATCATATTCTTTCGTCTCGTAGAAAATTATCCAGATATTTTAGAAAGCTGAACCAACATAGTTTTTAATGCTGTGAATGATTGGAAAGGTTTCGAATATCCTAAATCCGAGATTTATTTAAACTTAAATTCAATTTTAAAAGACAGGACTTTTATTTTTACCTTTAATGATTCCATAAAGTCTAATATTTGTGTCATGATTAAGAGAAAGTTTTATAAATTAAAAAGTTACATTTAAAAAACATGAATGCTAAATTAAGTACTTTAAAAAATCGGATATAAGAATCCTCAAGGCGACTTTTTTTCCGTCTTTCGATTATGCCTTAAATACTTCGTGCGTGTCCAAATATTTTTTTTAATGAACATTTTAAAATCAAAACATGTATTTAACGTGGTCGATTAGTAACACAATATTAAGTGGGTTGCTATACGTACTATTACTGTATCGGTATGTTAACGTTAATTCTGTATAAAATTCACAAGAAGGGATCTGTCCTTGGAAAATGTTAACGTTAAGAAATGTACACACATTATCGTTATCGTTATTAAAAAATCTGTCAATCCTACGGAATTTTACGGAATTCCTGAAATTCACCTGAAATATTAATATCGATATATACCGATACGGAATTATTGCGTTTTTCCGGATCATTCCAACATTGCGCTAATCCATAACAGGTCTATAGAAACCAAACTCGATATTTTGCGGTGCTACAGCTCAAAGCGCGTGAAGAAATTATTGAATGTCTTAAACTAGAAAGACAGAAGTTAAAAGAACTTGATGAGTTGATAGCATTCTTTACTACAAAATTAACTTCAATTCCAAATAATACAGGTATATTTTATTTTTAAATATAAATCGAAGGAAAATTACATTTAATATTAATGTGAATTTATTATCGGTGTTGCAATACCACCATTTGAATAAATTTCACTGAATGAAATTGGTCGGTTTCGTCCATATTTCGAGTGTTGTACAAAAAAAATTACAATCCATGAACTCTCAATAAAATATGATATTATATTATCTGGAAAAAAATAGTAACGATACTTTAACAAATTTATTATTTGCTAATTTACCTTTCTTTTATGTGTAATTAGAACTATTGAACCAAATAAACCAGGACAATACAATATTTATATCTAATTACATGTATATAAAATTCCAAATGCATTTATATATACATACATACTGTATACGTACGTAACGATCCAAAATTCTGTATTAAATAAAATTGAGATTATTTCTCTATATTTAAATTTTCTACCAGTATTTTATTAAATTTTTTCAATTTAATTTAAAAGATATTTCTGTTCGCAAAGTGATTGTAAAAATTTTTTATAATTAAAATGTATATTTTATTTTAAAAAAATTTACAATCACTTTGCAAGCAGAAACATTCTTCAAATTAAATCGAAAAAATCTATGTTAAGATATATGTTATCGTCTTTGTTTTAAAATATTTATTAATAAAAATAGAATATAGAAATAATTTCTTTTTTTTTTGGTCGCTCAGTCATCATCACGTGCCACAAACAATTGTAAATTTCTCCTGCCCCGGTAGCACAAACTAATAAGAATGCGCAAAATTTTTTATCAATACGAGAAATAGCATTTAAACGTGAGTGTGACTTTTTGGCGACGCTGGGGAAGTTGTGGGGGGGGGGGGTGTTTATATAGTTACGTGAATAAATTTGAGCTGTCAAGTCATTTTTTAGCAAATTATTATGAACTGTATTTGTTAATACTGTACTGTCAATACTTTAATCATTGTTAACTTCATACACATGTTATTTTACTGAAATGATGTTTTTATCACCACCATCACAAAGCTTACCTTTACGCTCGCCAAGACTCTATTAGTGCAGAATGATCTCAAAAGTTGTGGTTAACAACTCACCAGGACGATACAACTTTCGACAAGCAGGACATTATACCAAATCTGCGGCGAGCTGCGCATCACCAATGAGAAACCAAAAGCGTAAGGCCAAGGGAAAGACGACCGCAAGCTATAGCATACGTTAATATCAAATATATCCGAATCATCCCCGGAAGCAGCTCTTGAAACGATGGTATACTTATAATATCAGCACAGCACAAAGATGCCAAACTCCAGAAGGCAGCTGTATAGTGTGAGGGTGAGTGTAAGTTCACGAGAGCTGTAGTCCGTCTTAGCAGCTTACGAGGTTGCAGCTCCCGCTAACATCCCTGACGAAGCCATCGACCAAGCTCTGGTCGTTAGAGACGAATTCATCGAGCATAATGACAACGACCAAGCTCGTCGGATCACTGTTCAGCCATCAATTTATTTCCTCTTCACCGTTGTGCTCGCAATGTTTACGTGATGAATCCAATCGTGCCATCCATCGCAAAGCCCTTTGGGCACCACCTTTCTTCAATGTTGCCACGCAAAACCATCTTCATATCGTTGCAAGTGTTCAGGTACATATCCTCTCGTTCCATTAAAAACAATCCTTCGCTATGCATCCATCATTCGCGTGTAGAACTTTCCAACTCTATTTTACGTTACTATCTTTATACGCAACCCGCATCATCACATCATAAGCCCTGCAAGCCGAACGAAAACAAGTGCACCTTCTGTGGCCTTTTCATTTCGAAAAAAAGAGACGTAAAAACAAATGGCCAAGGTCACGTTCGACTGTAAACTCACCTACTCCCGCCAAACCAATGAGTGGACATTTGCCTGGAAAGGAGTAGGCAATATTGGCGAACTTTGATATTGGACGCACTATTCACTTCTGTGTTTATATGGACGCTTGATATCACAAAAAGACAGGCTTGCACAATCAACCTCTAAATGCAAGAGGAGAAGGATTAGAGAATGTGGAGCGAAATTCACAGAAAAGTAATTGCGTTCTTCACTCACAAATTCCTTCCTATACATACTCCAATAACTCCTGTTACATCGTATAAATAATCCAATAAGGTCGTGAATATCAACGTAAAAGCCTAAGAAATACACAAGAACGATTTGAGAGAATGAGTGGAAGAAATAGAGGTACATTCCTCCCTTTGAAGTATCTGACATGGTGAGAAAAATCACATGAAAGACATCAAAAGGAAGTTGTGCTGGGTGTACTATCAATTTCGCCACCGTCTACTCGTCAAGGCCGAGTATGGCGGACAGTCGATGCTTCGCCGCCATCTTTACTTGTACCTTGTTCTACTTTGTCGCCATTCCCCCCTTCGTTTTTGGCATCCGGACCTTGATTCTCTTCCGAAAATCATGCAAGTATAACTATTCTGCTGCAAAATATTTAGAGATTTATCGAATAATTATTTACCGTTACGCGCTTTTACGACGACAATATAAAGATACGTATACTAAAAAGCAACGAAAAAATTTTCCGATATTAAAAATCAAAATTATTGTTATATACAGTGGAGGACGCCATCAACTTTTTTTTTAAACGGCGAAAAAAAATTTTATTCTACTAGTCATGTTATTTTGCATTGTATCATAATGCTACTACGTAATAACGACAAATTTCATAAAATTCAAAATTTATAACTCATGCCAAAAGTAAAAATTTAAAAATCCAGCTACGGCAAATATTAGCCTGCCTGGCTTCTGATTAATCAATTGCCGCAGAGTTTTTTATTATTATTATTCTGGCCAGAGTTATAACAATTTTTAATCACATACCAAAAAGTTGATGGTTTATGGTGTCCCCCCTCCCACTGTACGAGGTTTTTTTTTACAAATGTATTTATTAAACAAAATAAATCAGACTGAAGAATCATTATCGTTATAAAATCACTTATCTTCGAATTTTAAATAGAAAATAATAACGATACATATACGTATGTACGTATTGTAACGGAATGATCATACGATGATATATACGTACGTATCAACATCGACATCAATAACACAGAAATATACATGTAACATAATGTGCAAATCCTCATCATCACCACCATCATCATCTAATTAACGAAAGGCACATGACCAGGAATTTACAAAATAGGTATAAAAAGAGGTCCAATGTAGCTTCTGGTTTTGAGTGTGAAAGTTTGGACCAAAACAAAAAATCTTCATCCATTCATCACACGTTAGTTGTTACCGTTACTCAGACCTGTCGATCATATTTTTCGTGTATCATTAATAATTTATTCTAATTAAAAACTGCCACTGATATTTTATTTCATTATTACATGTATTACGTTACGTAGTGTATTACTATTAGCTTTTATTCTAATAACACTACACAACAACTAAACTTTCTTATAAGATGCCTAAAGTAAAGTCAACATCGAGGGGATCAAAATTCCAATCTAAACGCAAATCAACGGCATCGAGTTCTTCAACATCATCAAGAGTAAGTCAATCCACCTCCACCAAGAAAACCACGAAGAAACCCTTGTCCATCCATCGATCAAGGATGAAATCACATCCATACAACAGAAACAGTAGTCTCGGCACCATGAACAGTAAAAACACGCCGAAAATCCCAACAAATACAGCCACTAAAAAAACCTCAAAAATATCGAACACAAAAACTCCCAACCATTTTCACATCAAAACCTTTGATAATCGGTTTCTGGGAAACGGCGATCTTTGGGGGCTCGAAATTCTTGGAGACACAAATGACGTTATGCATCTCGATAACCATGGGCCGAAAGTGTTTCGTGTGAACAGGAATAAAGAGTTGTGTGATGAGAATGGGAAGACGATTACTTTCTTGCCGCACAATTCTGTGCATGGCGCTTATACTGTTAAAGTTCAAAGAGTTGATAAACAAGTATGTTTTTGATTATTTATGAATTATAATTTTTTTTTATTTTTATTTCTGTATTTATTCTTCTTTTGATGCGGTAGGTAGTCTTAGAGGCCATTGATCCAAATAATAATAGCGGTGGGAAGTATCTTGCAGCCGCTAAAGATTGCTTGGAGTTTTCGTCAATAGATGATCCGAAATCAAAATTCGATTTAATGACTACTCTTGACGAATAATAGCGATGGTAAAACGCAAAACCTTGGATTGTTTTTCGTAACCAAGTGCTTTTGCTTTATACAATTAAATACCAGTAGACAAAAGTAACAATAGTGCAACTTTAAATATCTAGAATGGAACAAAATCATTCTCTGGAAGTTAAAAATCAATTTTCTTCTAAAAAAAATATACGATATTTCTCTTTCATTTCTTTTTATTCTTTTTTTTTTGGCATCATTTTCTTGGGATTTGTGTTTGTTGTTGTCAATACCAGCATTACCAATAAGAAGACACTCAGCCACTATAAAACGAAAGACTCAAATAACGAGTACGCAGAAGATCTCAAGTGAAAAACAGCAGTATCGAATGTTTCTTTATTCGATAACGACAGGAAAAACGAAGTTTCGTCCGGAAGAGAGCCTGAAAAACAACCTACCGAGTGAATTCTATCTATTCATAAAAGAAAAAGAAAAGCTGTTGCAAGTTAATAGTTTAATAGTGTAGTGTTACTAACGCTAATGTATGTATTACATGTATTATCGTTATGTGTCAATGATAAAATGATTTACTGTAGTTCCATATATTCATATATTGATATGTACATGTAATTATCGTTATGACGCATAGGAATTTGACCACTGTATAATCACAAACTCTTTAAAAGCCACACTTTTTTTGTGTGATTATATTGATTACAAACGTTAATATTTAATTACGTAGTGAAATTTTTGAAGACCTCTTAACTAATAAATAAAAAATGAAAAATGATATCGTTTTGTGACCAAAGTGAACTATGTTCATTAGGTTGCTTAGTTGTAATTTATATTCTCTTTTTCAGTTAATAGAATTTCATTAAGTCACTTTGCTATTAGTTTCGCAATGACCTCACAAAGTGAACAATCAACTTTTAACTATTTTATAAATTCAAATGGCCTAGATTACAGGTCACTGAAAATTTAAGTCATTGAAGCCACCAAGACCACTACAGGTCAGTCCAACACGAATTTTGTGTCTGTATAGAATTATCTTTTGCTTCAAAAGTTGTTGGAATCAGAAAATTTGCCAGCATTAATTTAATGAATTTCAATTTCTATCTAAAGTAATATTATATCGAATATAAAACATATGAATATTCAAATGAAATGATCGGGGATTTTTAAAAGGAGATTTCTTTCATATGCGAGTTGGTGCCATTTCAATAAAAGTCCTATCGCTATTGGATCCAAATAAAATGACTATATGATAGATAATTTTTCTTTGTAAAATTTACAGTTCCTGCAGAAAGTATAATACTAACATTTTTTATAGAAGCAAAATATATAAATGAAGAGCTAGATTTCTAGCAAGGTAATAACAATTAAAAAAAATGTGATAGATTTGCGAAAATCTAACAGGAGCGCATCATGGCAAGTCATTTTCCCGATTGCAGGTTTGTAAAATTTTCAAAACTTATTTCCTCAATAACCAATGATCAGGATTTTATAATTTTGGTCTTATTAACTTCGTCTCAATAAGACGAACATTTTGGTAGTAATTATTTCATTTAAATCAGAATAATATTTATGAATTATTGCATTTTTTTTTAGTTAAAAAACGTTCTGTGGTGCATAAAATCTAAAGTCATCAAACGTTTGTATTTTATAAAATACAAACGTTTGATGACTTTAGATTTTATGCACCACAGAACGTTTTTTAACTAAAAAAAAATGCAATAATTCATAAATATTATTCTGATTTAAATGAAATAATTACTACCAAAATGTTCGTCTTATTGAGACGAAGTTAATAAGACCAAAATTATAAAATCCTGATCATTGGTTATTGAGGAAATAAGTTTTGAAAATTTTACAAACCTGCAATCGGGAAAATGACTTGCCATGATGCGCTCCTGTTAGATTTTCGCAAATCTATCACATTTTTTTTAATTGTTATTACCTTGCTAGAAATCTAGCTCTTCATTTATATATTTTGCTTCTATAAAAAATGTTAGTATTATACTTTCTGCAGGAACTGTAAATTTTACAAAGAAAAATTATCTATCATATAGTCATTTTATTTGGATCCAATAGCGATAGGACTTTTATTGAAATGGCACCAACTCGCATATGAAAGAAATCTCCTTTTAAAAATCCCCGATCATTTCATTTGAATATTCATATGTTTTATATTCGATATAATATTACTTTAGATAGAAATTGAAATTCATTAAATTAATGCTGGCAAATTTTCTGATTCCAACAACTTTTGAAGCAAAAGATAATTCTATACAGACACAAAATTCGTGTTGGACTGACCTGTAGTGGTCTTGGTGGCTTCAATGACTTAAATTTTCAGTGACCTGTAATCTAGGCCATTTGAATTTATAAAATAGTTAAAAGTTGATTGTTCACTTTGTGAGGTCATTGCGAAACTAATAGCAAAGTGACTTAATGAAATTCTATTAACTGAAAAAGAGAATATAAATTACAACTAAGCAACCTAATGAACATAGTTCACTTTGGTCACAAAACGATATCATTTTTCATTTTTTATTTATTAGTTAAGAGGTCTTCAAAAATTTCACTACGTAATTAAATATTAACGTTTGTAATCAATATAATCACACAAAAAAAGTGTGGCTTTTAAAGAGTTTGTGATTATACAGTGGTCAAATTCCTATGCGTCATAACGATAATTACATGTACATATCAATATATGAATATATGGAACTACAGTAAATCATTTTATCATTGACACATAACGATAATACATGTAATACATACATTAGCGTTAGTAACACTACACTATTAAACTATTAACTTGCAACAGCTTTTCTTTTTCTTTTATGAATAGATAGAATTCACTCGGTAGGTTGTTTTTCAGGCTCTCTTCCGGACGAAACTTCGTTTTTCCTGTCGTTATCGAATAAAGAAACATTCGATACTGCTGTTTTTCACTTGAGATCTTCTGCGTACTCGTTATTTGAGTCTTTCGTTTTATAGTGGCTGAGTGTCTTCTTATTGGTAATGCTGGTATTGACAACAACAAACACAAATCCCAAGAAAATGATGCCAAAAAAAAAAGAATAAAAAGAAATGAAAGAGAAATATCGTATATTTTTTTTAGAAGAAAATTGATTTTTAACTTCCAGAGAATGATTTTGTTCCATTCTAGATATTTAAAGTTGCACTATTGTTACTTTTGTCTACTGGTATTTAATTGTATAAAGCAAAAGCACTTGGTTACGAAAAACAATCCAAGGTTTTGCGTTTTACCATCGCTATTATTCGTCAAGAGTAGTCATTAAATCGAATTTTGATTTCGGATCATCTATTGACGAAAACTCCAAGCAATCTTTAGCGGCTGCAAGATACTTCCCACCGCTATTATTATTTGGATCAATGGCCTCTAAGACTACCTACCGCATCAAAAGAAGAATAAATACAGAAATAAAAATAAAAAAAAATTATAATTCATAAATAATCAAAAACATACTTGTTTATCAACTCTTTGAACTTTAACAGTATAAGCGCCATGCACAGAATTGTGCGGCAAGAAAGTAATCGTCTTCCCATTCTCATCACACAACTCTTTATTCCTGTTCACACGAAACACTTTCGGCCCATGGTTATCGAGATGCATAACGTCATTTGTGTCTCCAAGAATTTCGAGCCCCCAAAGATCGCCGTTTCCCAGAAACCGATTATCAAAGGTTTTGATGTGAAAATGGTTGGGAGTTTTTGTGTTCGATATTTTTGAGGTTTTTTTAGTGGCTGTATTTGTTGGGATTTTCGGCGTGTTTTTACTGTTCATGGTGCCGAGACTACTGTTTCTGTTGTATGGATGTGATTTCATCCTTGATCGATGGATGGACAAGGGTTTCTTCGTGGTTTTCTTGGTGGAGGTGGATTGACTTACTCTTGATGATGTTGAAGAACTCGATGCCGTTGATTTGCGTTTAGATTGGAATTTTGATCCCCTCGATGTTGACTTTACTTTAGGCATCTTATAAGAAAGTTTAGTTGTTGTGTAGTGTTATTAGAATAAAAGCTAATAGTAATACACTACGTAACGTAATACATGTAATAATGAAATAAAATATCAGTGGCAGTTTTTAATTAGAATAAATTATTAATGATACACGAAAAATATGATCGACAGGTCTGAGTAACGGTAACAACTAACGTGTGATGAATGGATGAAGATTTTTTGTTTTGGTCCAAACTTTCACACTCAAAACCAGAAGCTACATTGGACCTCTTTTTATACCTATTTTGTAAATTCCTGGTCATGTGCCTTTCGTTAATTAGATGATGATGGTGGTGATGATGAGGATTTGCACATTATGTTACATGTATATTTCTGTGTTATTGATGTCGATGTTGATACGTACGTATATATCATCGTATGATCATTCCGTTACAATACGTACATACGTATATGTATCGTTATTATTTTCTATTTAAAATTCGAAGATAAGTGATTTTATAACGATAATGATTCTTCAGTCTGATTTATTTTGTTTAATAAATACATTTGTAAAAAAAAACCTCGTACAGTGGGAGGGGGGACACCATAAACCATCAACTTTTTGGTATGTGATTAAAAATTGTTATAACTCTGGCCAGAATAATAATAATAAAAAACTCTGCGGCAATTGATTAATCAGAAGCCAGGCAGGCTAATATTTGCCGTAGCTGGATTTTTAAATTTTTACTTTTGGCATGAGTTATAAATTTTGAATTTTATGAAATTTGTCGTTATTACGTAGTAGCATTATGATACAATGCAAAATAACATGACTAGTAGAATAAAATTTTTTTTCGCCGTTTAAAAAAAAAGTTGATGGCGTCCTCCACTGTATATAACAATAATTTTGATTTTTAATATCGGAAAATTTTTTCGTTGCTTTTTAGTATACGTATCTTTATATTGTCGTCGTAAAAGCGCGTAACGGTAAATAATTATTCGATAAATCTCTAAATATTTTGCAGCAGAATAGTTATACTTGCATGATTTTCGGAAGAGAATCAAGGTCCGGATGCCAAAAACGAAGGGGGGAATGGCGACAAAGTAGAACAAGGTACAAGTAAAGATGGCGGCGAAGCATCGACTGTCCGCCATACTCGGCCTTGACGAGTAGACGGTGGCGAAATTGATAGTACACCCAGCACAACTTCCTTTTGATGTCTTTCATGTGATTTTTCTCACCATGTCAGATACTTCAAAGGGAGGAATGTACCTCTATTTCTTCCACTCATTCTCTCAAATCGTTCTTGTGTATTTCTTAGGCTTTTACGTTGATATTCACGACCTTATTGGATTATTTATACGATGTAACAGGAGTTATTGGAGTATGTATAGGAAGGAATTTGTGAGTGAAGAACGCAATTACTTTTCTGTGAATTTCGCTCCACATTCTCTAATCCTTCTCCTCTTGCATTTAGAGGTTGATTGTGCAAGCCTGTCTTTTTGTGATATCAAGCGTCCATATAAACACAGAAGTGAATAGTGCGTCCAATATCAAAGTTCGCCAATATTGCCTACTCCTTTCCAGGCAAATGTCCACTCATTGGTTTGGCGGGAGTAGGTGAGTTTACAGTCGAACGTGACCTTGGCCATTTGTTTTTACGTCTCTTTTTTTCGAAATGAAAAGGCCACAGAAGGTGCACTTGTTTTCGTTCGGCTTGCAGGGCTTATGATGTGATGATGCGGGTTGCGTATAAAGATAGTAACGTAAAATAGAGTTGGAAAGTTCTACACGCGAATGATGGATGCATAGCGAAGGATTGTTTTTAATGGAACGAGAGGATATGTACCTGAACACTTGCAACGATATGAAGATGGTTTTGCGTGGCAACATTGAAGAAAGGTGGTGCCCAAAGGGCTTTGCGATGGATGGCACGATTGGATTCATCACGTAAACATTGCGAGCACAACGGTGAAGAGGAAATAAATTGATGGCTGAACAGTGATCCGACGAGCTTGGTCGTTGTCATTATGCTCGATGAATTCGTCTCTAACGACCAGAGCTTGGTCGATGGCTTCGTCAGGGATGTTAGCGGGAGCTGCAACCTCGTAAGCTGCTAAGACGGACTACAGCTCTCGTGAACTTACACTCACCCTCACACTATACAGCTGCCTTCTGGAGTTTGGCATCTTTGTGCTGTGCTGATATTATAAGTATACCATCGTTTCAAGAGCTGCTTCCGGGGATGATTCGGATATATTTGATATTAACGTATGCTATAGCTTGCGGTCGTCTTTCCCTTGGCCTTACGCTTTTGGTTTCTCATTGGTGATGCGCAGCTCGCCGCAGATTTGGTATAATGTCCTGCTTGTCGAAAGTTGTATCGTCCTGGTGAGTTGTTAACCACAACTTTTGAGATCATTCTGCACTAATAGAGTCTTGGCGAGCGTAAAGGTAAGCTTTGTGATGGTGGTGATAAAAACATCATTTCAGTAAAATAACATGTGTATGAAGTTAACAATGATTAAAGTATTGACAGTACAGTATTAACAAATACAGTTCATAATAATTTGCTAAAAAATGACTTGACAGCTCAAATTTATTCACGTAACTATATAAACACCCCCCCCCCCCACAACTTCCCCAGCGTCGCCAAAAAGTCACACTCACGTTTAAATGCTATTTCTCGTATTGATAAAAAATTTTGCGCATTCTTATTAGTTTGTGCTACCGGGGCAGGAGAAATTTACAATTGTTTGTGGCACGTGATGATGACTGAGCGACCAAAAAAAAAAGAAATTATTTCTATATTCTATTTTTATTAATAAATATTTTAAAACAAAGACGATAACATATATCTTAACATAGATTTTTTCGATTTAATTTGAAGAATGTTTCTGCTTGCAAAGTGATTGTAAATTTTTTTAAAATAAAATATACATTTTAATTATAAAAAATTTTTACAATCACTTTGCGAACAGAAATATCTTTTAAATTAAATTGAAAAAATTTAATAAAATACTGGTAGAAAATTTAAATATAGAGAAATAATCTCAATTTTATTTAATACAGAATTTTGGATCGTTACGTACGTATACAGTATGTATGTATATATAAATGCATTTGGAATTTTATATACATGTAATTAGATATAAATATTGTATTGTCCTGGTTTATTTGGTTCAATAGTTCTAATTACACATAAAAGAAAGGTAAATTAGCAAATAATAAATTTGTTAAAGTATCGTTACTATTTTTTTCCAGATAATATAATATCATATTTTATTGAGAGTTCATGGATTGTAATTTTTTTTGTACAACACTCGAAATATGGACGAAACCGACCAATTTCATTCAGTGAAATTTATTCAAATGGTGGTATTGCAACACCGATAATAAATTCACATTAATATTAAATGTAATTTTCCTTCGATTTATATTTAAAAATAAAATATACCTGTATTATTTGGAATTGAAGTTAATTTTGTAGTAAAGAATGCTATCAACTCATCAAGTTCTTTTAACTTCTGTCTTTCTAGTTTAAGACATTCAATAATTTCTTCACGCGCTTTGAGCTGTAGCACCGCAAAATATCGAGTTTGGTTTCTATAGACCTGTTATGGATTAGCGCAATGTTGGAATGATCCGGAAAAACGCAATAATTCCGTATCGGTATATATCGATATTAATATTTCAGGTGAATTTCAGGAATTCCGTAAAATTCCGTAGGATTGACAGATTTTTTAATAACGATAACGATAATGTGTGTACATTTCTTAACGTTAACATTTTCCAAGGACAGATCCCTTCTTGTGAATTTTATACAGAATTAACGTTAACATACCGATACAGTAATAGTACGTATAGCAACCCACTTAATATTGTGTTACTAATCGACCACGTTAAATACATGTTTTGATTTTAAAATGTTCATTAAAAAAAATATTTGGACACGCACGAAGTATTTAAGGCATAATCGAAAGACGGAAAAAAAGTCGCCTTGAGGATTCTTATATCCGATTTTTTAAAGTACTTAATTTAGCATTCATGTTTTTTAAATGTAACTTTTTAATTTATAAAACTTTCTCTTAATCATGACACAAATATTAGACTTTATGGAATCATTAAAGGTAAAAATAAAAGTCCTGTCTTTTAAAATTGAATTTAAGTTTAAATAAATCTCGGATTTAGGATATTCGAAACCTTTCCAATCATTCACAGCATTAAAAACTATGTTGGTTCAGCTTTCTAAAATATCTGGATAATTTTCTACGAGACGAAAGAATATGATATTTTCAGCGTTGGAGTTCTGTTATGGGTGGTTTCTAGCGGTCGCACTCCATCCAATAAATATGGATACGAAATTATTCTTGAGAAAGAATTGAACGCCTCCTGAATATGTCGAACTCTATTAACAATATTGAGACAACACGAGCAAATCGCCCAAGTATATTCTAAAAGAAATAGTTTGTTCAACGCCAGAATCTCTTGAAGTTTACCATCACCAAATACAAATAACTATAAAGAAAATCAAATAAAATTTTCGACTTTCCGATAAAAAAGTCATTAGGTTTGGTGGAAGTTTATAGGGCAGAAGTGAAAAACGAAGAAAAGTGTCTATGGCTAGATGACGAGAAACACACCGAAGAACCAAGCATAAATTTATCATAGAGGTATTTATCGTATTAAAGAATAAACTAGTAACTAAAGATTTATAAACTTCACAGTTTGTATCAAATATTCATTAGTTAAAAATTTTTATTAAATTTAAACATAATTCGCTTTTACAGAATCACTAAAGGTAAGTGTATATACATAGTTATAGCTTTATAATCAAATCTATAATAGCGTTCAAACGACTTTTATTTAGAATACGATACACAAAAATACTTATTGTTATAAAGTATGCCATGACGGAATTCTCGAAAATTACTTGAAAGAAAATTTTTCCAGATTTACTTTTAATTAGACTGTTTGAAGTTGTCTATTAAATGAAGAGATAGATAATTACAGATTAGATTTCAGTAAAGGGAGTTTTTCATAACTTGATATACTCTCATTTCTAGCGGAATGTTCGAAAAGGTTTTTAAGTTTCTTATTACTTGTATTTACAAAGTAGATGTTTTGGCTTCATTTGCGATTAATCAAGACCTTTAAGAGATAATGCCTGTATTGGTCGGGGTGGGTTCATCAGTTTTAGTCTTGTCAGTATTGGTCGTAGATGTCTTGATTCCTTCGTCAGCAGGTTCAACAATCTGATATTTAATGTTCATCTCTTTACACATATTCCACTGCTTCGTTTTGCACAGACGTTAATGCGCTGCGATGCCATTCTACATAGTCTCCAACCGCATATGCATTGTGTATCCTTTCGGATAGCCGTTTATAAAAGCTTTTCATCTCCGCCGCCACACGTTTAATTTCACTTGGATTCGGTCAAAAGTTCTGAAAAATTTCCAATACATCCTTACGATTATCAAGATACCTGGTCCACTTGGTCCCTCGGTCTCCTTGAATGCCCTCCAAGTTTAATAATTCCCACTGTTCTAGAGATCA